CCCCAAAACCCCAAAACCCCAAAACCCCTTTCCATAAATACTTAATTGGGAATTATTCATTTATAAATTTTATTGGTTTGACAATGGAGTCTGACTCATATAAAGATAAAGATCCCTTTGATGCAAGTATCCATGACTCCTTTGAAGGGAATTCTAAAATCTTGAATTTCACCAATAGGTTTGATACCATGGATAACTTTTTGGGTGTAAGTCTTAGGTAAATCATCGATAACTTCTAAATCATCAACGAATAGTAAAATTAATTCTCACTATAGACCACAAAGAATCTATTCCTAATGGAGGATAGTCAGTTCTATGGAGACTTACAGTAAGTCTTATCCTCAAAACATGCGCCTGAATGTCCTTGATCATGAAAAACTTGAAGGGTTTTCTGAAATGTATCAAAAATTTTAACTAAAATTAATTTTTGTAGGATTTCCAAACCAAAAGAAAACGCAAAGCAACAAGAGGAGAAACTGGAAGAGGCAAAGCAAGATGATCCCTGCCAGGGGATAGAGAAACAACTTGGAGATAATTGGTTTATCAAGGATACAGGTCTTACTACACCACAAAGAAAGAAGCTTCACAAACAGGAAACTCTGAACTTAATGAAATAAGCGGAACCACCTCGCACATGTGTTTGTTAAGAATATGAGTAGCAAGCTAAATGACCTCAAGGTATCCCAATATGGTAGTGCAAAGATGATCGATAATGAGCTTGATAAGTACAGATATATAGTCTACGCTATATCTTTCTTAGCAATCCTGGGAGTAGCTATCTGTGCAATCGAGCAAGAACTTTATATAAGACATGGGAAGGGAAATTATACATTAGATAGAGTACTCCTGCTGTCTTGAAACTTATTCATCACCTTTTTGGTATCAATACTGACAGCTTTCTCTTATTATCAAGGTGTGTTTATTAAAAGAGCTGAAGGTGTGCTCCTAACTATCGATTCATTACAAAAAGAGCAATTAATCTGGCTAATTTTAGAAATAATATTAAACTTTATACACCCAATGCCGTTTTTGTGAAATACGACTTTTAATGAGCAAGTGTATCCCCTAAATATTTCACTTCCAAAGAGAGTTGATACAGTTCTGTTTATAGCAATGGTCCATATCCGTGCTTACCATCTATGTCGTCCATTCTTACTATCATCTGATTACATGACCAATAGAGCTTACAGAGTATGAAACATCAGTAGAACAGATTGAAGCTATTGGTTTGCAATCAGGAGTGTTTTTAAAGCTTACACTGCTTCTGTTACTGTCTTGCTCTTCATCTTTTGCACAATATTCTACGGAGCCCTACTAAGGTTTAATGAAGGCGCAGCTCATGTTTACAGTGAGAAAGTTCAGAATTTCAACTGGAGAAATTCTTTATGGTGTTCCTACATCACCATGACAACAGTTGGTTATGGAGATTTCTATCCGGTTACTTTTTATGGATGATGATCAGGAGTTCTATGAAGCTTAGCAGGGAGCTTGATCCAATCACTTGCAGTTATTGCCTTATTTGAAATCCTAGACTTCCAGCCAAGTGAAGACTTCTCTTATAATTTGCTTAAATTTTTGGAAAAATAAAGACAAGCTTTTGTATAGAGCTACAAGAATGATGATATCAATGTTCAGATTTAATAAATACAAGATTAAAAAATACTTGGTAAGGTACTCTAATAGAAGCTGGCTCTTCAGTAAATCAAGTACTAACCTCAGGATTTCTTACATGTCTCGACTTACTAAAGGAGATTACATGAGAAGAGATATTAAATCTTTAAAAAGGAAGACTCAAAATATCTGCAAGATGATCGAAGCCATCAAGAACCATGATGAAAAATATACAAAGTTCGATGTAAGTATCCTATTAAAAACTTCATAGAATGATTTCATCCCAAGTAGTAGAACTAAGTTGTTGATTCCTTCAAGTAAAGTCTTCCAAGAGCCTAAAACTCTGGCTCAGCTGCTAGATAAAGAGGAGGATTCCTTAGTAGAAAAATAAGCTCAATTCGATCACAGGTATAATTTACCAAAAGTTATAAACTCAGTAATTAGTGTTAATCAATTTCATCCATGAAAGCCAGTCATAAATTTCACGTGAATGGTTTATATTATTTCCAAACGTGTCATACTCTAGCCACAAGTATCTGTGCTAACATTCAGCATAGTTTAGGCATATCTCTCTTCTGATACATACTTATGGAGTATCCTAACTGGAAATATTTATTCTCAAGTTACTTTCTGTCACGGAGCTAAAGTTCCGGACAATTAACGTTCAACTTTATGTCTGAAATATGGGGTTTTGGGGTTTTGGGGTTTTGGGGAG